GCGGTGAAGTCGTCCTGTACCCTTAGCAGAAAAACAGCCCCAAAGCATAATGTTTCCAACCTCCGTGCTTGACTGGTGTTCTTGGGGTCATAGTCAGCATTTCTCTCCCTCCAAACACGGCAAACCACAGAGCTCAATTTTAGTCTCATCTGAACAAACTTTAAATGGGCCTGTACATGTGCCTTCTTGAGTAGGGGGACCTTGCGGGCGCTGCAGGATTTCAGTCCATTTAGTGGGTTACCAATGGTTTGCCTGGTGACTGTGGTCCCAACTGCCTTAAGATCATTAACAAGCTCCTCCCGTGTAGTTCTGCCAGAATTCTTGCTGGTTGGTAGGGGACCAAATAATTACTTCACTCAATGAAATGCAAATCAATTTCTAACCTTTATATAATGTGTTTTTTTCTGCCTTTTTTGGTTGATATTCTGTCTCTATCCGTTAAAATAAACCTACCATAAAAATTACATACCCTTCATTTCATTGTAAGTGGGCAAACTTACAAAATCAGCAAATATTTTTTCCCCACTGTATTTCACATGGAAATATTCACATTATTTAAGTACTATAAACAGGGCACTAAGAAATCCATATTTTCCTACAAATTTAATTTTGTTTTGTTTGTTTTCCCAAATTCTGTGTTTACATTTTAATTTTTAAAATAAATTCAATTTTAATGGTTTAAATAAATCTTAATAATCAAAAAGCATGCCAAATCAATTTAATTCATAACACTTTATCGATTTAATAATTTATTATATTTTAACACTAATAGTTCCATATATCATGTTTTATTTTTTCATAACTTCTGTGTTGTCTGTTTTAATTTTTCTGTTTTTTTTATGATAAAATACAAATTGTATCAAAAATGGTGGTAATCAAATGAATGTATACAACTTTAACAATTTAATTAATCCTTTAAAATAAAATAAAATTCAATTTGAACAATTCCTTTCAACTTTGGCAAACAAAGTGCTGCCCAACAGAGGTTTACTGTTTAAATTAAAACATCTATGAAAAATTGTGATATTCCTTATACTGTTTTAATTAAAAAAAGTTTTAGAATCATGTTTACTAAGGATGAGCATGCAGACTGATGGGTGAACTGTAGGTCAAAGGTCATGTAAATGTGTATGTGGGGATGGTGAAAGGTCATAAAAAAAGCTTAATTCCTTCTGGTTTTGCATGCATAGAGAGTTTTGTTCTTGTCTTTGGTAAAGCTTTGCCAAGACTTTATCTTTAACATTTTGATCCTTTAATGCAGCAATTGTTCTCTAAGTGTGATTTTTTTTCAGAACATGATTGCATGTCTTTCCCTTTCCTGTACACTTCATAAGTAAACTGAAAGAAAAGAGTCTAAAGCCATTTGAAAAGTGGACTGTAGTGTAGTTTAAATGGGTGGAAATAAAAATAATCCAGTTATGTTGTATTTCATACAGGTTTATTTGACTGTCTCTCAGCTAATTTAGGAGAGTTTGGACTATTGAAACCAAGCTCTAAGTTGTCGGGCAGAAACAACAATCATGCTCAATAGGGGTGTAACGGTACACAAATATGACGGTTCGGTACGTACCTCGGTTTTAACGTCACGGTTCGGTATGATTTCGGTACAGCAGGGGGGAAAACTTTTTTTTTTTTTAATGGTTTAAAGTTTTTAAAGTTGCTCTTTCTTTAAATACATTCAGTTATAGTTTAAAT